AATCAGAGTGGGCGGTCGACTACGCCGTGCAGAGGGCCTCAGCAACTCCACAGTGCACCCTGTCGTCTTAGATCCTGCGCATCCATTCACGCGGCTCTTGATCCAGAAGTACGACACAGATCTCCGCCACCCAGGGGCAGAACGGGTCTATGCTGAGCTTCGGAGACTCTTCTGGGTCCTCCGGGGAAGAAAAGCTATTCGCAAACACCAACATGCTTGCACAGAATGTAGACGCTGGAGAGCCAAACCATCCATCCCCAAAATGGCCGACCTTCCCGTTGCTCGTCTTCGTTTGTTTAAGCCAGCGTTCTACTCCACTGGTGTTGACTGTTTCGGGCCAATGCTGGTGAAAGTGGGGAGACGTCAGGAGAAGCGCTGGGGCATAATCTTCAAGTGCCTAACAACGAGAGCCGTGCACCTTGACCTTCTGAGAAGTATGGATACCGACGCATACCTGATGGCGCTCCGCAGATTCATTGCTCGTCGTGGGACTCCTGCTGAGCTGTGGTCCGATCGAGGGACGAACTTCAAGGGAGGAGAGCGTGAACTCCAAGAGGCCTTCGCCGAGATGGTGCCAACCCTGCAACAGCAGCTTGCTTCCCAAAAGATAAAGTTCCAGTACAACCCCCCGGCCGCTCCCCATTTCGGGGGAGTATGGGAGCGAGAGATCCGTTCGGTGAAGACAGCTCTACACGCCTGTGTTGGGGCTCAACCTGTTCCGGAAGACGTTCCTTTCACCGTACTATTAGAAGTGGAGTCAATCCTGAACTCCAAACCCCTAGGCTACACCTCTGCAGACGTGGCCGACATTGACCCTGTGACCCCCAACAGTCTCTTGATGGGGCGGCCGGATGGGTCATTACCTCAGGTTGTTTACCCGGAGACAGAGATCGTGAGTCACAGACGTTGGCGACACTGTCGGGTGTTAGCTGACCAGTTTTGGACAAGGTTTATCCGTGAATACCTCCCAACTCTACAGACTCGACAGAAGTGGCAGGCAGTTTCCCCTGAGCTACTGGACAATGCTGTTGTGATGTTAGTTGAGCCTCACTTACCTAGATCTTCCTGGCCCATAGGACATGTGGTAAATGTACATCGTAGTGCAGATGGATGTGTTCGGTCCGCAGATGTAGAGATGAATGGTCATGTTTACACTCGACCTGCAGCGCGTTTAGTGATGCTGCCAGCGCTTCCTTCAGGAGAAGAATAGTTTCTACTCCTTTAGTTTTTGACTCGCCTTCATTTGGAGCAAATGTGCCTAGCACATTTGGGGGCGGCTGTAATAAAGGCTCAGCCCTGTGAGGGGAGTCACGTGACTTACGTGACTTACGTAACTTACGTGACTGCCTGGCTTGTTACGTTTCGCGGTTCTTGTAACGGCAGCTAAGTTGTGTCCTACAGTTAGCTCACTTTGTGGGAAGTTCCAGCCCACTGCTACCTCAAACTCAGTCACTGATGAAACGTGAGTGTTTAATGTTGTATATCGTTGTGCTATTTACCCCTTTCTCGCTGTAAACACAATGGTCTGGTTCATGTGTAAATGCGCTCCTCGCCTCGAGTGGAGTTTACTGTAGTGAGAGTTTGTGACAAGCTAGTTATGTGTGTACCTTCATTGCAGTGTATCTATGTAAGTTCTCACCATTTCTGGAGCATATGCAGTTGTTTAATGTTGAATCTTAGTAAGAATGTGTCACGTTTGTGCCGCGAGGTAATGTAATGACCTTCCGCGGCTGCTAGAGGGCGCCATTACTCTGCGCCAGCATTAAGTTCAGGGAACTTCATTATGCAGCCATCTAATTCTGGTTATGTATGTTCTGTTTATTGATATTAATTGTTTGTACTAATAAGAGCGTGTATTTAAGTGAGCATGCTTTATAAGAACATTTTTTCTCTGTAAAGTTATTGAATAATATGTTTGATTATTCATTGTATTTATCTGTATTTGCAGACTGTGTGTTTGTGTGAAGCAACCTGTGCAGCAGTGGCGGCTGCAATAAAATACCTGAACTTCAACCTGGTCTCTCCCCATCTTTCCTTCCCTGCGTTCTGACCGACGCCCCATCTTGTTTCACGTCTGACCCCTCCTTGAATTAGCATAATACAGTCCAACTCCTCCCTAACGGTATGAATTGAATAAACTCTCATTTTTAAGATAACATCATACTCTATTTTTGGACCGGATTCCGCTTCAGTGGAGAAAACATCTAATATTTTTTGACTGTAGACGCTGAATAATGAATCATGTTTTTTCTCACTACATATGCAAGCAAGCAGGAAAGTGATGTCCGTGACGTCAGCCCATGCTTCTGTAGAAACCACATGGAATGACTATTTCATCAGAGAGAGATGAGTCTGTTAGTTGTGAATATGGTCAAATCTGCTCTGGTTCTGTCTGATGGAGTCGTTTTAGAGAGAGATTTAGCGTGAGGCTTCTACACGGATCCATAGTTCAGATGAGGAGAGAGAAGAGACATGATCACTTCAGACGGCTGAAGTTACAAATGAAGAAAAGTTGTTCTGAACAAAGGAAACGTGATGTATTTAAAAGTTTTAAGCATATATGACTTCACTGTAAAAATATATACAAGATTAGGTAAAAATTGCTTGAATTGAATGTTGTTGTTTTTTTTTTTACTTGAGTACATTCTGACTGCCTTAAAACAAGATTTGCCAGTGGAACAAGCCGTTTAGTCTTACTTCATTTCATTTCATTTTTTTCAGAGCCGCATTAGCTCCTGACTTACAGTAATGCAGGAGCTATTCTACCTGTTGTTTTGTATGAAGCAGAATCTCTTCAAAAACTGTTGCTATTTTTCTCATTCCAAGGGAGATATTTCTTGTATCTTTTTACAACAAGGTAATTTTGTTTGTCCCATTGGCAAATCTTGTTTTAAGGTCAACATGCTCATATGAAGATTTGAGGATTTTTTTAAACTTATTTTTTCAATCACTTTGTGTAAGAGAGATCCTTTATTTTCGCCTGACTCTTGCCAGACCCTTGTATTTCCGCCATGCTCCACCAGAGGCGTTTAGCTTCACACAAGGGTCTGGGATCGAGCGCATAGCAAACTAGCAAACATAGCAAACAGCAGATCAGAAAATAATCGACCAATCAGGATCGCCGGTGTTACGTCGGGTTTGCACCGGCAGGTCGTTCCAAAGCCGAGGTGCCCGGACAGAGATGGTGATTAACTTGTGATGCAAAACTATAATTTCCCCGCTGTGGGACAAATAAAGGATCTCTAAATCTCTTGAGTTCAGACGCTTTAGTCAAGTTATGAAGCTCATCCCGAACAAACGATAACCGTCCCTGAAAAGAGAATGTGTAGGTTTGAACATTTGCAAACAGCAGCATCTCCCTCACTCTCGCACATCGCCGCCGTTTAAGTGAGCATGGCTTTTTCAAAACATTTGTTCTTCTGAATAATTCATCCCTCCACAAGCACAAGCTGCCACAAACAGTCATTCCTTTCATTATGCCATTAATAGTTGATGCAATGCAACAGTCCTTGAGTTATCGCTATAACGATCGAATTTCTGTAATGAGAATTTAGCCAAGCATAATAATTGTAATTCTGTATGTACTGGTAAATGAAATACGCTTGATTTCTAGAAAACAACACAAAGCATGGATAACAGATATCCTTTAGGAAATGAATTGTGCAAATAATTAACAACTGTAATTAGAAAGCTTTGTTTACACATTAACAAACAAGTACAATATTTCATTTTTGAATATAGTCATGCATATGTTATACAAGGGATCTCAGGTTCCCATTGTTAATTGTGCACTATGTTATAATAGTATCTTTTTCTAACTAATCTATTTTAAACAGTATGCTATTTTTCTAAGCATACATATTGTTTACTCTGGTCTTATTCTGATAAAGTACAATAGTAATAATAATAATACTCCTACTTATATAGCGCTTTGTGGACACTCAAAGAAGAACAAATAAGAAACAAATATAAAAAGCTAAAAATAAACAGTTAAGTGTTGGCAGTTTTGAAAAGGTGGGTGTTGAGAAGTGATTTGAAGTTCTGTAGTGAGTCAGAGTTCCTGATGTGAGGTGGGAGTGAGTTCCAGAGAGTGGGGGCAGCTGCAGCAAAGGCTCGGCCCCCCAAGGTTCGGCACTTTGTTCTGATGGGAGTGAGGAGGTTGGAGTCTGTGGATCTGAGGTGGCGGGTGGGTCAGTGATGATGGAGGAGGTCAGTGGGATGAGAAGGGGCAGATTATGGAGGGATGAGGTATGGAACAGGGAGCCAGTGGAGTTGTTTGAGGACGGGGGTGATGTGGTCTCAAGAGTGAGTATGAAATCCCAGAGAATTATAGAGTTTTATTTTTTAATTTTATTATTTGATTTGATTTTATTAAATAAAATATCCTCTTTGATTCGTGTATAACCTGTTCTCTTATTTCCTGTAATGTGCAGAAACGATCGGTATCGGTGCATCCCAAACTAGCTGTATCGCTATATAAACCGTAGGGTCCAAAGAAAAAAAAAAAAGTGGTGGCTTATAGTCCAGAAATCACGGCAATATAAATATATGCCTCAAGAACTAGTAGAAAATGCAGACAGCATCAAAGCAAAAGGGCCCTTCAGCACTTGCCACTTTAAGGAGGTGTAGTAAGATTATTCCATGCTCTTCAACATTGCAGTATCAAAAATTATATGGAATCCTGACAACACTATTCTAAACATGTAAAAAATCTTTTGCGCTTCAGAGTACGGGATACTCATATATTCGACTCGTCATCATCGACTGCATCCACTGATGTTATTAGAATGTAATCTCTGTGATAAGCGCAGGTCGGTCAGACAGATGCCATAGTGTGAGTGTAGCATTTAAAAACGGTAAGAATCGTCCATGAATGTTTGAAGATGAGTGACAAAGCACAAATGCACCCGACAAATAGATTAAGGTTAAGAGAATATTCTTTATTTGTCCCACATTAGGGAAATTTCAGTGTCAGCACCAATAAATAAATCAATGAATGGCTATAGTTTCTTGTGGTCCTTATGCACCAAGCTGGAGCCAGTCCAGAGTCTGTTCCATGTTAGAACATTTATCAGGGCTTTAGTGCAGCCCTGCTTTAGCCGGGCCTCTATCTCCTCCAGGCGGATCCTGTTTGTAGGATCTACGCTCAGACACACATGGACAAAGTCTTTTCCCTCTTCCGATGCCTGGCTGCTTTGCAGGATGAGCTCTCCATTCAGCCACTCGCAAATTTCAAAGGTTTGCGCGTTGAACACACTTGAGGCCAACTGGAAGTCAAATAGAAAAGTAATGAGTAAAACACATAAAGAGCAGAGCTGAACTCAAACCTTCACATCCATCTCTTACCTGTGACTTTAACATGGACTTTAGCTTGTGGCTAAATAAAGAAATAAATGTTCTTTGAGAACAAGTGAACTACTGCCACTTGCAAATGCCAAGAAAGAAAGCAAAAAAGGCCCATAAGGCCAACAAATAAATCAATAAATGTTTTTCTTGTGGTCCTTTTGCACAAAGCTGAAGATATTTCCCTCGCTGGACAGAGGGAGGTACTTCACTGCATCCGGGACACACTTGAGGCCAACTGGAAGTCAAATAGAAAAGTCATGAGTAAAACAGCTAAAGAGCAGAACTGAACTCAAACCTTCAAATCCATGTCTTACCTGTGACTTAAACGTCAAACTTTAACTTGTGGCTAGATAAATACATACATTGGACAAGGGTTCTACTGCCACAATAACAATAAAAGTTTGCTAAAAATTGCAAACATTAAGAAAGAAAGTAAACAATGTCCAATGGGCCAATAAATAAATCAATAAATGTTTATGATGAAGATGAAGATGAAGAAGGAACCTCGATGCTGGTGCTAAACCATGGGTGTCCTTCCATCTCCTCCAGGCAGATCCTGTTTTCAGGTTCTACGCTCAGACACATGTGGATAAAGTCTAATGCCTCTGCTGACGCCTCGCTGGTTTTAAGGCTCAGATCTCCGTTGAGCCACTCAAAGACGTCAAAGTCCTTTGCGTCACCGTTGAGGAGTTCATAAGCAATGGCCCCGATCTGCCACACAGACGTTGGACCCGCCCTGCATTGGTGGCTGAGAAACATCTCGGGAGGGCAGTAGTTTGCAGTGCCCATGTACTGAGTGCACGGTGTAGTGGTGACGCCACAGCTACATCCAAAGTCCACGATCCGGACTCGAGGCCCCTCCTGAGTCTCCTGGATCAGGATGTTTGTGGTCTTTATGTCGCGATGGAAAACCCACTTTTTATCGAGCTGGATCAACGCCTGGACCAGCTGTTTTATGATGTCCCTGACGGTGTCTTCAAGCAGGGGGTCATGGAGGACGCTGTACTCCAGAAGGTCCATGCAGGGGCTGGGTCTCTCCATGACAATCAGGATCTCTGAGTCTGATTGAAACCAGTCAATTAAAGAGACTGCAGCGTTTTGTCCCAGATGGTCTTGTACTCCAGCTGCCTTGTACATGTAGAAGACCTCCTCAGGAATCTTGAAGAACTTTCCCTTTCTGGCCAGAGGGAAGTACTTCACCTGATTCTTGGGAACCCGTTTGATGGCAACCTGCAAGTCAGAGCATAAAAGTTTTTGTTACTTTGAGATAAGATCAGATCAATAACCTGGACTAAACCAAGAACTTCCATTCAAGAAGCGTCTAAAGCTTGAGCCCCGATCTGATATCAGCATGAATCTGGTAGATGGTCTATCATTGTCTTTTTGCTGAGGTCCTGTAGGACACCGTCCTCTCTGAAGAAGATCATTAGCTGCAGACATCTTTTATAATCAGTGCTCTGATTGGACAGGGAGAGCATGCAAACACCAATCATTTTGGGTTCTTATTTTTCACCACGTGACAGCAGAAGGGCGACACATATTTGCTTTATGTCCGTAATGATCAGTAGAAGACAGATTGGTGCCCAGGTCTTTACACAATCACACATTACATACTGTATAAATGACTGTAGCTGTAATAACTGAGCACCTAACCAGTGTCAGAGTAATGTCTAAACAGTTCTTCGTCATCAGTTAGAACTTCAGTCCTTGTTCTCACCTTCAGACCATCAGACCTCCGCTCGCCGCCGTAGACCGCTCCAAATCGTCCCCTCCCCAGCTCATGGCCCATCACGTATCTGCCACTGAAGGTGTCCATGTCTCCAGAGCAGGCGAGCTGGGCCAAGAGGTGGCGCTGTTGAGCCCTGTTCGGCTGTTCAGGCTTGTGCTTCTTCCCTGCAGGGATGGCATCTGTAATAAATCAATCCATCAATCAATCTTTGTTATCAATTTATTAAACACACAATACTGAAGGGAAATTGGTTCATTAAAAACAGTGACCCACCACTGTAGCTGTCTGTAGAACAAAGCTCTTGTGTTTGTCTCTTACATAACTTATAAAAGTAACACAAACTCCAGTTGCTTACATAAAATATCAGAAACTGCAGTAACCAACAGGTGCCATTACAAGTACAAAGATCAGTACACTGCTTATTACGTATGCACCGTGCGTATCCTCGAGATGAAGTAGTTCCTATTATATTGTTATAATCATGAAACCACATCTGAAATAGCGTAGCTGTTGTAATCAATTCATAACAAAAGCATTTTCAAAGGAAGTTCAATGGTTCAATGATACAACATCACTGTATTATATGTGTGTGTCCGTATGCAAAGTTGTGTTTCTGGTTAAACCCACATGGACTAGAGGCCACGTTAAAATCTTTGTGAGATCTTTAAAGTTTGTGTCTTTTCTTCTCGTCACTGACCTGCCTTACAGTCGGGAATCCCAGGGCTGCGTTCGCGTTTTCGTTTGCTCATGTTTGAGAAAAACTTTCAGCTATTTGCAATGTGTCTGTTCAGCTCAGAGACCGAAGAGTGAATGACTGAACTTGTGAAAGTGTTGCCAACGCAACTTACGAAGTTCTGTTGTGTTCTTTAGAACACGACATCATTCTTTAGAACATGACGTAATGATTGATGTGTTGTCTGCGTAACCATGGCAATGGCATCAATTGAATGGTTTTGAATATGATAAGACATGTACATTGTCTGATTACTTGTTTCATTTGAATAAGTAGTAGTTCAACATATTTGTGCTTTTAATTTGGTAGGAATAGTTTGGAGATTGAGTTCCTAACTTTCAAAGTACAACATTTTTGTATAAAATCCACTCATTTAATGATAAACAGATGAATACAGTCTCTTTAGGCCTTTTCTTGTGTATTTACAAGAAATATGTGTCTCCTAACCTTTTTACCTAAAGATAAAGGGTTTTTACCTAAAGATAAAAAGGTTGAAAGCCAAAATCAGTTAAAAGCATACAGTTAAAAATGAGAGACCAGAGAGACATACCAGAGACAGAGGGAAAGACCAGGTATAGACCAGAGAGAGGGAACATAGAGAGTGATGAAACCCTTTACTTACGTTAGTGTCGGGAATGCGAAATGAAATTGCAGGAGGCAAAGACGAATTGAGAAAAAGTGTTATTTAGTAAACAAATTAAAATAAAGCAGTTCAAAGGGGCAAAGGGGCGACAGTAGCTCAGTTGGTAGAGCATTGGCCTTAAGCCCAGAAGGATGTGGGTTCAATTCCCACCTTTGCACCTTCTCCACCGACTCCCACTGATGACTGCTGTCGTTGTGTCCTTGGGCAAGACACTTAACCCCACTTTGCCCAAAGCCCCCACTGAAAGATCAAGGCTATGCTCACACTCAGAGAGCAGCCGTCCTCCTGTGGACTCACCACCTGCAGAGGGTCAGTGAGGGGCTGGTGCTATGAGACTTGGGTGGCATCTGCCACCCCCCTGACCCAGAAATGGATTAAAGGGTAGAAAATGGATGGATGGATGGACAGTTCAATATAAACAGTGAAGTCAATAATTCCCTTGACTGACGTGTTCGAGTTGATGCAGAGGCATGACAACAGATCTCCAAGTTTTAACATCTGTATTTAATTATCTTTACAATCAGATACAGAAATTCCAACAAAGAGGGCTCCTAAAACTATGCATGTCCCTCTCTGGCCCTCTGCTGATTCTTCTGTTTCTGCCCAAGCCAGAGCCTTATCAGTCGATGTTCAGGGAGCAGGGGGCGTGTCGTATCAGGGAGGTCTTGGGCCCAGGGTCCGATGACGTCACAGGTCTGGGACTGGTCTGGCCCCTGGTCCTGGTCTGGACCCGGTCTTGGTCTTCCATCTCCACCTGAGCAAACAATGCCCCCACCCGTGCGGCGCCTAACGTGGGGCTTAGACAAACGCAGCTGCTGCGGAGGGGGGCTGCGGGCGGATCATAGGTCAAGATTTGCCACACATGTGTTTATTCTGGGAGTCAATAATTGTCTGGCTCTGTAAGCTGGTCCTTGGGGTTTTTCCTGAGTGCACAGAGGTCTTTTTTGGCTATGATGTCCAAATGGTCAAATATTAAAATATACAACATTTTAATTATACAACAGTTTCCCTCTTTTGACCTGATTAAAAATTAGGTCACAATCCACATCGTCGTTTATCATCAATACTTGTGCTTAGTTCAGGCTTGATATCTGTGAAGAGTTAATACAGGGAAAACAAACAACACACAACCACATTCGAAACATTCCTTCACAAAACTCTTTGATGACCACCGCTGTGTCATTCTGATTCTTCATCATTAATCAAATTGGTATTATCGTTACAGGAGCTAATCTATTTTAGCAGGTTTCTCTGGGGTCAGTCCCTATACAACGGTATTTTGATTCTCTAATCTGTTGCTGACAAATCGACAGCTCTTAAAATTCTCAAAAATACCTAAATATCTACTTTTGTGCTATATTCAAATTAACCAAAATGCTTTTAAATGTTTTTGAATCTCTGTTGGTTCTAATCTCTCTCATTAATCTAAGCTACATTAATCTAGGCTACACTCATGAACTTTATCTACTTTTGAAGTAACTACTTTTGGACATAATATGAAGGAAATGGTCTTTTTACCGTTTGATATTAGCCCTGTCTAAAAATAATCTCTATTTTTGAAAGCATCTATGGTTGATGCATTTATCTATTCCTATTTTTACTCTATTGTGACTCTAAAGCTCGGTTGCAGCTTGAGCAAAGGCATATTCCTTGTTTGTAACTTCTGTCACTTTTAATATCTCTAACATTATTCTGATTCTAATATTATCTGCTCTATCAGAGGTAACATTGTATGGTACTATTTTAACTCTTATGTGGAAATGTGTTTACGAACAACAAAAGGAAGGACAATTCTACTTTTTTTACTATTATTAAAACGCTACAATACTCATACTTTATCATTTTAAAACATTTTAACTGTTGCTCAGTCTCCCAGACTAAAAATCAACCTTTCTGTCTGCCAGACTGAACCCTTAACATTTATTGCATTTGGTCACAGTTGTGGTTCTAATTGTAACAATTGCATTGGCAATGGACGATTTTTCATTGGCTGGTTCTTGTTCTGCAAATCACTATTCTATGTATTGTATTTCAGACAATTCCAAAAACAACACAGTCGTTCTCCAATATTAAAGACATACATCTAAATCAAGTTGCCTGAAAGGGATTTTAACTATTTTAAAACGTTCTCTACGATTATAAGGCTATGCATTTACTTATTTAATAAACAAAAGCACATTCATGGCTTCTGTCCGCTGCTTATAACTGTTTAAAGAGTTGTCCCAAACTTAATATGTGTAAATACATCAGCTGTTTGTAATAAACAATAACATTTAACCTGTTCTCCAATGGAGCAGCTCAGAGGCTGCGTCAAGAGCAATGTTATATTTGAGCTATTTTTAGATTTAAAATTGTGTTAAAGCCTGTCGTTCTATGTCTGCATTTTAATACTACTCTCTATAAACACATCTGCACTAGTTCCTACAGATGTGGAAAACATAAGTAGGGCTGGGCGATATGGCTGAAAACTATATCACGATATAAGTCATTCATATCGGTCGATAACGATATATATTGAGTTTTTTTTTTTAACCTAAATAAATATATTTATTTATTTAGCGGCAGTAGCTCAGTTGGTAGAGCGTTGGCCTTTGAGCCAGAAGTTCGTGGGTTCAAGCCCCGCTCAGGACTTTCACCATCGACTCCCACTGACTACTGTCGTTGTGTCCTTGGCAAGACACTTAACCTCTGGGAACACCAGCCACAGTGGGGCGGCTGTAAAGTGCCAAACTGCCGTTGTGTCCTTAGGCAAGACACTTCACCCCCATTGCCTAGAATGAGTCTGGTGTGTGTGTGAATGGTTGGTGGTGGTCGGAAGGGCCGATGGCACATACTGGTTGCCTCGCTTCTGTCAATGTGCCCCAGGGCAGCTGTGGCTACTGTAGTAGTTTATCACCACCGTGTATGGAGTGAATGAATAATGACACATGTGAAGCGTCTTTGAGTATCCAGAAAAGCGCTATATAAAACCGATGCATTATTATTATTATTATATTTGTCGTGTGGGCTAACCAACCTTAGCAGCCTTGTTTACAGTCACGGGGCGATGAGGCTGGAGGAATATGTTCACACTGTGTCCCTCGTTGTTAGTCCTGGTTTAATCCTGGTTTTTTATTCCTGGTTTAGCTCCTGGTTTAGCTGTTTGAGGGTCTTGTGTCCCCGTGGCCGCTCCGTGTGGCTCTCTGTGCCGCACATGCTTCCCGAGGAAAAAGTTAATCTCTTGCTTTCGCCGAATACATCGTGTCTGTCCACTGCCTCTGCCGCCGCACATGTTATTCCGCGCACGTACGTGCACAACCATTGACACGGCATTGAAACACGAGCTATAGATCCATGGACGCTACGCATGCTGCGGTTGTTGTTGTTTTTGCATTTCCCACAAAGTTTTGCGGTTCCTGCTCGGCTGTTATTGGTCGAGAAGCCTCCGCCTACATCCCCCACAATGCCATGCGCTTATGAGTCGGCTTTACTTCCGGTGTTTTCTTCCTGTTTTTCCTGACGGAGTTAAGTTAAACTATCGAACATTCTATCGACCCCATTCTCTATTGATATCGAACACATGTCTATCGCGATATATATCGTTATCGTTTTATCGCCCAGCCCTAAACATAAGCATCTAAAATCTGACTCCATTTGATTCCTTTTTACTTTAGTTATTAGAACAATTTGACCTTATTGATACTTATTTCCACAATAGAACTATTTTGATTATTCACTAGTCTAACTATTATTACTATTGTTTATTCTGACACCTCTTCCTAGCGACCTTTCAACCTATAGCTCCTCGAATCCAATGACATTAT